GTGTGGAGCTCCACACCTACTGTGTCTGCAGCCAGGCGCTCTTGAGAAAAGCTGGCGCACTGCCAAATGTTGCGCCTGTCATCTGAAGCCCTAGTGATTATTGCGCATGCGCGATATAATATCGATATGATATCGTCCAGCCCTAATAATTATGTTATGCAGTCTAACACAGTCCAACTTCATAATCTGTGTTTGGTGACTGGTGTCATACATTTCACACACTTTTATACCACGAGCAGTTCTCAGCTGAGCTGGATCAGTTCTTTCTTATGATGATTGAAGAAACTTATCTTACTCAAGCTTAAACAAATACATTCATAATGAGTGTGTTTCAATATTCTTCGATTCATATAAGTACAGTTCTTTGGTTATTACGAGCTGAACTAAAAACTTACATAAAAGGAGATCTTTCTTATTATGTTGGGTTAGTAAAACACAGCGGCTGAATGCCCAATAAGGTCAAATGAAAGTACATTAAAATAGGGCAGATATGGGACACCCATTTTGAACTGGTGTGCCACCCATATGGGCTTGCAATTTGGGAAGAGGTGGAGACACATTGTCTTAACACACTAGGTTGTAAATAAAACACTATAAAAGTTAATAAACATTAACATTGTAAAAACAACACTCACTGCACACTGAAAAGTGTTAAAGGTAACACTGAATGGTGTGGACACATATAGACACCATGCAGTGTTAATTTAACACTGGCACATTTGCTGTGTAGCTAGTTTTGCATTAGTCTACCATATTAAAATAAACTAGCAGAGCCAGAAATCGTTCATTTAACCACATATACTACTATATACTAACCAGATGTGTGGTTAATGTTTATGCTATCGCTTGTGTATATAAAGCTTATTCTCATATACATCATAAGGTAATGCGCTTGCGACATCCCGGCACATGCCTCCACTGTACCCCGACCTGCAGAACTGTCGTAAACGTGGAAATGAGTTGCGTTGTGAACCTGCGGTCGATTACTTTTCCTCAATAAGTTGGAATTGAATTTGCGAACTGAATTCAGATTCAACTAATAAACTCAGATTGAGTTTTTTAATGCGACAACTGCAGATTCAAGTAAATACATACAATTCAAATTCAGTTTCTAGTAGCACAAATATCTGCCCATAGAGGTAGCCCTCAATGGCCACCACAGGTATCTCGATGGCGGGTCTCCCTACTCTGCGCCTCACTGACTGCCTAGATTAGTTTGCACCCTTCCCGTGTCAAGTCCAGTTAAGATTGAAAGTTCCTCTACCCTCTGTGAGAGCAAAAGCAACCTATCAAACGCATCTATTGCTGATACCCGATTGTTTTCCATGTCATCTGCTAAGGCACAAATATTTGCTACAGGCTGTTCTGTCGCCATTACTCTCTAAATGAACAAATCCGTTGAATGCTGGCGAGGCCCTAAACAAGGAAGTGACGTCGTTAATGAAGGTCCGCCTTGATGAGCGGTCTGACAGTTGGGAATTGCAAATTAAGTTTTCCCCCTAACATGCAATGGAATTGCCGGGGACGCCATTGCATTTGAATAAAGAGGCAAAAAGGCCATGGCAATACACGTAATGCAATTCAGTGCCTTGTTATTCTATTTATTATTCAAAATATTTTGAAATGAATTAAGGATTGCATAAGCACTTTGCACATTGAATTGCTGATTGCAAAATGTATTTTCAAATTACATGTTCAGATTAAATATTGAAATGACAAATGCATGCTCTGATTGAATATTGAATTGCCAATTGCAAAATGAATTGCCATAAGAATTTTTGTGCTTATAATCTTCCATATCTGTGAGGAACAAATTAGCATTAACATCAGTTTGGTTCCTGAGGCACAAATGCCTTCCTTAGCATTTCAGGGAGTTTGGTGTGTTAATTTTACTGCTACAGGATCAGGAAATGAACCAGAGTGATAGATTAATGAGGGAAACCTCTTTAGTTCACTTTCATCTAGTTTATAATTTGAAATCAAATTAGCTGCATGTATGATGTTGGAATCATGGCCGTATATGTTGTCAAATGAAACATATGACATGTATGTAGCATCAGACACTAAATGTATCACAGCTCATGTTAGAGCAGATTGTCCAAACTCACCTCTCTGTGCTTCAGGGCGACTGAGCTGTAGACCACATCGCTGGCTGGGGTTACAGCAGGACGGTGTGAAGAACATCTAGAGGACACCTGCTGAGAACATTTAGCTGCTTACAGTGGAGGTACAAGACCAACCTTTGTACATAAATCACAAATCCATAAACTCCCAAACCTCCCATGTGAGTCACTGTGAAATATCAGGGTATCATGGTACTTATTGGTACATTACAGCTAATTCTGATACACATGGATCTGAGAGATCAGCTGAGGTGTAGATGACCTGCCCAGTCAGCACATTATTGATATACGTGTCACTCGCATTGTGATACTGGTCCTATGCCTGAACCAAACACTGATTTACATTAAACCATCTTACCTCTGGGTCTGACAGGACAATGGAGCTGTAGGTGACATCAGCTCCAGGCTCCTCAGAGGCCTTAGAGAGGATCACATTATGACCATGTATCTATACAGAACCACCTGCCCATTCTTTAACTGACAGCAGTGGAGCATCATTGTTGGTGAATTTGTTGATAATTTGACATATTAGTTAATGATTTGTATCTTTATCGATGTTGTCCAATATTAATTAATTTTTATTTCCATTTAGAAAACTCTTTAACCACAGTGTAACAACTGGCTTATGAAAATATGTTACATAAAATAATATCACTTTTTTACATATAGAAACACAGATTGCTCTCAAAATCCTTGCTGTATATATTTTATTCCTGCACTTTACCTGCCCTGGGGGGTCTCTCTTGATGTTGCCTATTGCTGCGTATTCAGGGTCTGGGTTCAGCTAGAACAAAGTCACAGCTCAGCGTTCAAACAATCACTCCATACCAGTCAGTTTCACATCATATTCCTATCCAACAATAAACTTTTTAATCAGTCACTGAAATAAAGGATTCATGTTACTTGTTATTTAAATAATTATGTTGATGCAATGTAAATTGTATTAGTTTTTATGCATAAATCTTTGAATAAACGCTATTGAATAATGCAGAGTAGTTCCACACAACTAGAATGAGTATTCTGAAAATTAAACATTCTTTTAAAGTTCATGCATTCACTTTGTGTTCTGAGAACAGAATATAGTTGAGTTAATCTCACTAAATTTTCTCATGTTTAATCAAACCAACTTAATCACTTTCATTCAACTTCAATTAGGTAAATAACCAGTGGCAGAACAGCTGTAAGCGGAAAAAAATAAAATGCTGGAAATCTTGAATCACTTAAAATATTAGAAGTAATGGATAACATGAAATATTTGAAGTTGCCTCAATGTAAGTAATTTATTCAGTTTAACTTGAACCATAAACATACATAAGAAGGTTACGTTTTAATGAAGAAACTAATAATTTTCAACTATTGGAATGTGAAGAAACACACTGAACTAGCAAAAGCTTTGTTTTAGTATTTCACTGGGGCAAAAATGGACCATGCCCCCCCCCCCCCCCCCCACCTCCAAATTCACACCTAGGCCCTGCCTATGCCAGTTGCAGTTGATGAAATTTAAGTAGCTTCCAAATATTGTACCCATCATACACTGCAGTAGTCAGCAAATTCTACAAACATGCTATTTTCGTTAAATACATGCCTCGACAACATAGTTTAACTACAAAACATTGCAAACGAATATATTTCAAATCTGTTTTAAGTATTGTACCAAATATTTTTTTTGTTATGACTCCCATCATACTGAGATTCTGCACATAAAAATGAGATATAAAAGTCACATGTCATAAATTTACATATTAAACTGAGTTCATTCAAAGTAACTGTTTCATTATAAGCAGTTCTCTCAAATTCAGCATCATTTCAACTACAATTGAAAAAAATGTGATTGTTTCTGATTTTAAATAAGCAATTTTAATATTTTAAAGTAGGATAAAATAGCCTAACAATTGTCCAGCTCGGGCTCAAAACCCTTCCAAAGGTTGTTGCGACCCACAGGCTGAGGAATGCTCTTCTGGACTTTCCGTATTAAATATGAACTTACTGTCAATTCTGTGCTTCCCAGATTTTGTCTCTCAGCCATTTTTTTCTCTACAAGAAAGGAATGAGGAAAAAAGTCACAGAAAATGATTCTGCTCACACCTGTGTCTCTGCAACTCTGCAAAGTTCAGGTTACTTATACACCGTCTGCATCAGCAGATACTCACTGTGTTTGTCCCGCACTTTCCATGTGATGATGATGATGATCAACAGCAGGACCAATAAGCCCAGTCCTACATACAGAGCCAGCTGGACCAAGGAGCTGAATAAGAGGGTGGATTTGAATAGTAAAGTCTCACATGCTTTATAACAGCACAGTTCAGCCACATCTGTACTATTACACAGGATACATGTGAGGAAGAGGAGACATTAACATAGAGCATAAAAATAGCTCAATGTTATACTGTTTTGTAAAATCCATCCATCCATCCATCCATCCATCATCCAGGCCTGCAGTCTATCCCCAGCAGCACAGGGCACAAGGCAGGGACTCACCCTGGATGGGATGCCATCTCAAGTTTATTATAATTAAGAAAAAAATGAAAAGCAATATCCTACTTCTCATAATTATTATGGAAGTTTCCCATTACAGTGTGACCAGGTAAATGCTGCTAGCTGGACCCCCACACTACTGTAAATGCTGCTGAAGGCTTACCTCACTTTTTCATTCCATCCATTTAATGTGACAGAAAACATCAGCATTGGAAACAAGAAAAAGAATTGTTATTTTACAAATAGAAAAACCCTGGTCTGTAAATTACTAAAGACTCCTAAAAAAACTGATATAAGAATAACTAAAATAAAATATTTCATAGAGCAGCTGGTTGGATACAGAATAATAAATTAGTGTTATGATCAAAATGTTCATATCCCAGGGAATTGCAGTGAATTGGTGATATTAATTATTTTATTATAATATCATAATGTACTTATTGCAGCACTGGATCAGTTATTACAGAGTATAACTGTAACACTGGCCTCTGCTGCAATTTGAAACCACCTACAGACACATCAGCCAGTCTGCACACCTTCTGTAACAATTTTGTATTTGGATTTATATACATAACAAATGGCTGTAATATGGAAACGAATGTCTGTCTGCGGCAACATCCTGTGAAATGTGTCTCATTATACAGACACATCCTGACCTAGAAGCTGCTGATTCCTGAGGGCTCAGTACAGCTCCAGGAGTAACAAACAGATCAGACACTCATGTATTTGGTACAGAGCAGGACCTGATAGCATGGAATTCTGCCTCCAACTTTGTGTCAGGGATCTGGGCAGGAATGAATTACATACTAACAGCAGGATTAGATTATATACAATGTATCGGCCAGGAAATTAATAAGAAAACAGGTGCATGTACGTATAGTTAAATCTGAATGAGAATCTTTATTGTTTTCCAAGTATCAAGTGTTCAAGGAATCCCTCTTGGTGCAGGTCATCACAACTGTATTATGGAGTGTCTCCCATAGAGGTAATGCTGGTATTTATGGTTAATCTTCCAGTACATTCATATAGACACATAAAACTACAGCCATCCACCCATCAATCTTCTGTCCTGGTCAGGGATGTGGGGCCTGGAACCTATCCCAGGCAGGACAGGGCACAGGGATGGAGTACATCCTGGATGGGATGCCAGTCAGAAGCAACAGTATCACCTACTGAGCCACTGTGCCACTAACACAGAACCTATAATGCCAATAAATAACTCTGTTCAGCTAAAGTTATCAATAGGGTAGTTTAAATATACACAGCTTAGCCCCCCCCCCCCCCACAGATTATCCCTATAAAACGCACAGACCCCCTTCATGGGTGAAACTGCATCATTTGTTGTTTGGCTATTTGTATTGAAGCACAAATTATTCACAGCCAGATTTGTATTAATTACTTACATTCGGTGATGATTATTGGTTTGACAGTAATATGAACTGGGATCTGCCAGCCTCCAGCATCACACCAGTACGATCCTGTATCCTTCATCTCCAGTCCCCTCATTGTCACGCTGAAGACTCTATTTACTCTGTCCTCCCTGATCAGGACAGGCCTCCCATCCAAACTCACAGATCTCTCTGATGCACAGGAGCCCCCGATCTTACACCACAGCTTCAGACTGTCACTGTTTCTATAGCGACACTGAACACTGACATTGTCTCCTTCCACACCCGTCACCTCCTGTTTGTCCACTGACAGCCCAGGGGAACCTGAATATGCAAATTAGGGACAAATGAAACACTGTTATTTACTCAGCTGTAAAATATTCATGCATATGACCCAGTTACAACATGCTTATTTTAATGTTTATCTGTACTTTTTAATCACATCAAAACTGAACAAAATATATTACTAATGTTATTTATCCCCTAGAGTAGCCCATATAAACTGAGACTGTTACATCTCCCAGGTCTCATTTATGATACTTTGCAAAACTAAGATTTGGTATTTGTTATTGTAAATTTTGTAGGTTTTAAAATGCTAAAATATTTATTCCTCCAGTGTTTGTGTTAATGTCCTTCCTTTTTGGGTAAATGACATGTTACATACTGTGCATCTCATTGGCTACAGTCTGCAGTACAAACATCTTACCATCAGTGACTGACAGATAAACCTGATCTCCAACATTTGAACCTCCACTGATCTCCACATGACACCAGTAGGTACCAGAGTCCCCAGCTGTCAGATTTTTGATGGTCAGAGTGAAGACTCGCTGGTCAGGATCATCTCTGATTGACACTTTACCCTCCTGTGGAGAGTCAGTGTGTACTATGGGAGTACATGACCTCCAGTCGTCCCCTCTGCACCAGTATTTCATGTGAGTTTTTTGTCTGTCACCATAGAAACATGGGATGGTGACAGATCCTCCTCTCCGTACACTGATCCATTTCATTGTAGACACACCTGCAGGAACAGTATGAACATTGCCATGCTGATTAACTCTCACCCCCTCTTACACCATTTATATGCATAATGTAATGAAGTGAGTAATAAGCTACATTTCACCAAACTTCAATGCTCCTGATTGCGTTTGATTGAAATGTACCATTGAATGCTAACTGTAAATTGGTAATGGTAACTGGTATTGGAACTATTAGTGAATACGATGTTGGGCTTATTGTACCATGGGAAATGTATCCTGCTTCAATGATACTGTAAAAAGGAAAAAGCAGTACCAAATGGGGAAATAATTTGGTGCACAAACAAAACATTTATCCACTTATTTGCTGTGTAGCTTAAGCCCCGCTAGCCTGTTAGCATAAGCCATGCTTTAATGTAGAGCTGGGCGATATGGCTAAAATAAATATCACAATATTTTTTCTTGTATTGACTGATATCGATAATTATCAATATAATAGTTTCACAATGTTGTTCCATGTAATAAACTAAATAATAATAAAAACAACCCTATTCTGACAAATAGAATGAATACATTGAAATAAACAATATTAGTAAACAAATGTTTATTTTCCAACAAATTTTACTGTTTACATACAAAATTCCCTTAAAATTATGAAAGGTTATTGATTTTCAAGTATTCAAAGAAACATAGCTCAGATGAATAAAACCATATAATAATGTAACAATGTGCAAAACTGTCATGATCCACTCCGTCCGCTCCTGATGTGTGCCACGCCCACCTCGTTACCTCGTGTTCAGCCCTGATTGTGATCACCTGTGTCCTGTTATGTCTAGCTCGTCTTTTGTATTTAGTCCTTCCCCAGACTCGTCATTGTATTGTCCGTGGATGTCCGTGCCTGTTCTCCGTTTACCCAATAAACCACTTTACCGGACTTCCTGGCTTCGCTCACCTGCTTTCCTGCTCGCCCTCCCCGCGAACGCTGACAAAAACAGTATAATGGGCAAACACAAAATAAAGCAGGACAGAACTGACTGCAAGAACTATCTGCATCTATTCTTGGTCTCTTAAAAACTTTTAAAATTCTGAGGTAGAAAAGTATCTAAACCCCTATTTCAAAAAAATGCCAAATCATGGTTAGACTTTTTGTCTGGCGCTGCAAAACGTCACCACGCGTCACCATGTCACATGATACAAAATCCTCGAGAGATCAAGACGACTTCTTTTTTTTAACTCCTTTATTTCGTCTTCAACAAAATACAATATCCGAGCCGGGGGACAGCACAGGTACATCAAAACAGGCCATACATAAGAGTACAAAGTTTACAGGCACTATTGGTCTTTACCTTCTCTAAAGAATTAAAAAATAAAACTAAATCATTTTTAAAAGGGGAGGACCTTTGTATATCTACATTTATGTAAATAAAATTTTGCAATTAAAATAATATTGTTGAGCAAGAATTCAGTATCCTTCTCTTCAAGGAAAACCCCAAACTTAATGGTGAGATGTGGTATTACATATTGTGAAGATAAGCAGTTAAACAGAGCAGACCAAAAATTGTTGACCACTGTACAAGAGAAAAATAAATGTTCCTGGGATTCACTCTTATTATCACAGAAAGAACATAAATCCTCCAAGTCTTCTAAATTAAACCTCATTTTTAAAAAATGTTTACTTGGGTAAATGTCATTAATCTTTTTAAAGAGAACTTCTTTCATTTTGGATAACAGGAAAGGACAAATATATAGATCTAACTTTGATAGTTTCAGTATGAAAAATTTGTAGATAATACTCTTCTTTTAACTGGAGTAGGGCATTCTTTTGTCATTACAGATCTTAATATTCTATTATTACATTTACTATCTAAAAAGTTATATTTGTCAATTAATAAATTAGCATATACAGGTATTACTAATGAATACTGTAAAACACCTTTAAATAAGTTCTTCACATCGAAAGGAAATAGCTTTAACTATGAAGGAGTATTGTTTAAAAGAACAATCCAAATTAATTTTTTATTTAAACTCTGTATAAGATAAAATATTACCTTCCTTATCCATGAAATGGACAATAGCCCAGACACCTTTCTCCATCCACTCTTTATAAAATAAGGATTTACCCTTACGTAAAATGTATCTATTATTCCATATAATGGCTGTGTGTGAGGTGAAGTTGTGTTTGTAGAGCATTTTCCAGTACAGTAACACCTGTCTGTGATAATCAGATAACTTAAGTGGTAATTTAAGGGGGTCAAAATCTAATAAGAAACCTAATACCACCAACCCTGTTAAACAGATAAGCAAGTAAACTGAACCAAATACAATGTTCATTTTTTAAAACATTTTGCTACCATCTCAACTTAATAGTACCATTCATCACTTCAAAATCAATTACATTCAAACCACTATCTCCTACTGGTTTTACCACATCTCCTTTTCTTAATAAATGTTGTTTATTATTCCAAATAAAATTATAATGACTTTGGTTTATTGTTTCAATAAATCTGTCTGGTATAGCCAAGGAATATGCTGGGTACATTATTCTTTAAATTCCTTCCATTTTCGTCAATAAAACTCTCCCAAAGATTGAATTATTTCTCTGTATCCAGCTATTTAAAATGTTTTTATTTTTTTGTAAAACGACATCAAGACAACTTAAGACAGATTGTGCCCTCACAAGATCATCTGGCTGCAGACCTCCACCAGGAGAAACTCCACTAGAGGGCCGGAAACATGTGACCTCCACAAGTGAGTCCGGATATGACGTTATGCAAACTTTTTTTTTTTTTTTTTGCATTTTGGATATAATTTTTGATCCACTTAGTTTTCAAAATAGTATTACATGTTCCAAAGTCAATCATGTTTAAGCCTCCATCCACAAGAGAATTACATACCACTTCTTTTCTTAAATAATGGTGCTTATTTTTCCAAACACAATTGAAAAGATCCTTATCAGTATGGTTAATTATCACTTTTGGGACATCCAACACCATAGCAGAATAAATCAGTCTTGACAAACCTTCACTCTTGGATAATAAGACTCGACCCTTTATCGATAAATCCCTTGACAACCAAATATTAAATATTGTTTTAATATTAGAGAGAGATGGAGAATACCGCTTCTTTCAAAAAGATTTATGACCCAAAGGTCAAAAAGGTCACGGGTCAAAAGTTCACTGGATGGGCGGGTCTGGGGTGACGCAACGACTAGTGACGTTGGGAGAGGTTTTTTTNAAAATAAACGTTTTTGAATTTTGAAAGGCGTATGTACATTATTATGCCATTATCATTATTCTAGATGAAAATGGTCTCAGATCGACAATATTATCGTTTATCGCGATAATTTCTTGGACAATTTATCGTCCAGCAAAATTTGTTATCGTGACAGGCCTAATGGTAGACATTTGTAACTCCTTTCCAGACATCACCCCACAGTCTCTCAATGCGTTGGTTATGCGTGCTTCTTCCTCTTATAGCACTTCCCCGGTTTGAGCCTCGGAAGACATCCATAAAGAGACAAACAGCATTGTTTTCCCCTCCATGATCACATCTGACTCTGGATGGGACACCATAGTGGCTGATAGCCTCAACAAACAACTCCATTACAGTTTCACTTCTGTTGTTGTCAGAACCTTGAAGGAATACCACAAGTCTGCTGAAGCCATCAATTCCTCCATGGATCACAATCCTCCATCTAAAAAGAGGACGAAGGAGTTGGGAATAAGAGGTGGGGGAAAAGGCTATTTGCTGTAGAGCTTCAGTAAAACTGCTTTAATTGAAACTTACTTAATGAGCTTGTGGTTGCCATCAAGGTGCCATAGTGAATTTGGCCCGGCCACTTGATATGTTCTCCTCTGAAGCCTGTGGGACATAGTCCGAAGAGCAACACCTTCAGGATTGGTCCTGATGAGACTTTGTCGCACACGCCATCTCTGGACTATGATGCCCTCGCCCACAAGCCGTGCCCTGACAGCCTCTGCTCCAATTTCATCATTGGCAGAGAGGACCTCCAGCACACAGTTGTCCAGGGCGTCATCAGTGATGGTGGTGTAGCAACCTCTAAATGACAGATTATACTGTCTAAAGAAGACAATACAAAATAGAAAGCATCATAAGAACTTGGGAGCAAATTTACTCTGAGAAAAAGATAATGTTTCAGCTCCAGTGACAAAAATGTTGAAACCAAAAAAAGAGCAAAACATAGCTTAATTAAAATAAAGGAACAGAGACAAGGTCTGCTGTGAGCCTTACAGTGAACGTGACTTCACTGCAAGATTTGCAGATAGAGTTCCAATACATATCTTCATTGTAGACAGGGATATTCAGGAATGTTTTAACCTTAATTTATATGCAATTTGTAAATAAACAAAACAAACCTTAACCGACGCTTCACTGTGCATCTTGACACACCCAAGATCTCTGCAATATGTTTTCCAGCAAAGTTAAATGACAACAACATCTGCAACTGCTCTTGGGTTATTTGGTATGCCGGTCTCCCAGTCCTTCCTGCCATCCGAGGTGCAGTGAAACTATGAAGAACTGTACTCCAAAATAACAAACATCAAGGGATCTGACCAGAAAACAGTATGCTTAAAGACAGGGGACAGCCCAACCAGCCCCAAAGATATCAAAATTATATAAAATTATATGATTTAACTAGTACAAATTATATATTTCAAGATATACTAAACTTTAATTGTACTAATCTAAGTATCAAAATATCATTTAAAAGTACAAGTGGCCACTTTAACATTTCATTGCCAGACTGGACATATGGAGTTAACCATCTTCCTGGTCAAAATAGCTAAGAATATTAGACATCTGCTATGACATTCTTCCTACACACGATTGTCATTAAGATCACAATGTTGTTCTTTCTATGACAAATGAATGTCACTTTTGTCATTTGTGTATATTGGGCTTTCAAATTCAGATATCTGCAATTGTTTTTTCTTTTTGTGGAATAAACATCCTGAATATCTGTAATGAAATTATTAGAACAAACTCCCATTTTAAATATTTTTAAATAAACTGTCACAGGTCAAATGATTAGAAAATTGATTAAATAAAATGGCCTAGTTAGCTAGAGCTACATATTGAAGAATTATATCAGTAACATAACTGATAGATATGCCTAGCAAACCTACCAGGTTGTTGGTGGTGGTTGTTGGCTTCCTGAATGAACTCGCTTATAAGACTAAGCATTTCATCGGCCACCTGTGATTCAATTAGTCGCCCTCTGGCCCAATGAATACTCCTCGACATGGTCTCCATCCTGTTATTGTTAGACAATATGACGCCTGATCTTAGTTACCTTGTCTAAGTGCAGTTTTATACGTAAAATTAAGAATAAGCAAACTTCCAACCAAACTAAGCTAAACACCCACAACAAACATGTAAATTCTGCTGTATCAGAGATTATTGGAAAACCATGCAAATGATTGAAATACCGTCGTTAAACTTCTATCTATCACAATCTATACATATTTAACTTAAAATCAAAAAAATTCTAATAGCAATTTCCAATAGTGCGGAAAAGTTGTCACTGGACCTCTTTATTAAACGTGCACAGTGTTGGGCAAGCTACTTGTAAAGTGTAGTGAGCTAAGCTATTAGAGTTACTCAACAATAAATTAAGCTTCACTACACAAAAGCTTCCACCCATAGAAATATAGCAAGCTAAGTTAAACAAATATGGCAAAAGTAGTCTACTACATCAGAAGCTACTTCACGTTGTACCAACCTAATACCAGATCAGTGCAAAATGACAGTCAGATACACTGGTTAAGACATTTATTAAAGAACAACCCATGATTTAACACGGTGTAGACATTGCATTATGTGAAGCATCGAGACATAAATAAAAGGTTACTTTTGGGAATAAAACACAAAAAAAAGTTATAGGACTACCAGTACTCTAGTAAACAAATTATTTAGTACCAAATGAAAGCTACTGTGTAGTGTTCAATGGGCAAGACATGGCTATAGGTTTAAATCAATTTAAAATTTCTAGGGAAAAGAAAAACGATATTAACAGCCATCTTATTTCCTCAGGGCCTCCCTTAACGAGAAAACTTCTTCAGACCCCAATTAAACAAGTTGACTGAAGTTACAAATGAACTTTGTGTTTAAGAACTGTGTTAACTGTGTTTACGGACGACATGCAACACCATGATTAATAAACATGGCTCAGAGAGGGATCACTGAGGCAATAGCAAATGAACTGGTTCATACTGAAATGAGAATCAAAGTCCTGAATTACATGTTTTAGTGCTGGGGGGATGGAATGGAAGGGGAGGGGTGGGCGAGGGGGAGAGGGGTAATGGTGTATGGCTGGGCTCTTATTGTTCTAACAAGTGTTTGTTTACACGGCACAAGAGAAGCTTTTCAAAAGTGGCATCAGAAAGGTGGTTTTCTCTTTGGTTGCTACAGTAAATAGTCTTTCACAGGCTGCATTTGCTGGGACCCCTGTGTTGTAGGCTATCTATACTTTTTAATAATTAAGCTGGATGCATATCAAATTGATAAAGCTGGATTAATTTTCATTACTTGTAAGTGTTTTTTATGTATTAATTAGTTAAAAACCCAGGACAGAATTTGGGCAAACTTTATAAGTAAATAAATACTGTAGCGCGGAATGTTAGACTGATGCCAGCTTGTAAATAGTTCTCAGTAATCGCTTGTGTCATTATAAATGTGCTGTGTGTTATGTCATGTATAATCGTTGATGCTTTTTGTTGTACGTAGTGTGCGTGTATGTGTGCATGCACCCACCGTGTCTATGAGGATCAAGTAAACGGGGCGACATGCACGGTGTGCAGTGCGAGCTTGTGGATTGTTAGGGTGACCAGATAATCCATATCAGGTAGGACACTCTGAGCCAGGACAGAAATTGTAAATTGCCATTTCAATTAAAAGGACCTGGATTTCACTTGAGCACTGAGTTCTTGCTGTGTGCTGATTGGTCAGTCTCCTATAATCGTGCATATGTCACTAATGCTAATGTGAAACAGCAAGATGAGTCTTTCAGTCAAGGAAACAAACCAGTCAAAGCACAAAAAGAACTGAACTATTTAGCCGAGCACAGGAGCCTTTCAATTTGAAAGCAGTTTGTAAAATCCGAAGTAGCTCAAAGTGTCCTCCCTGACATGGATTATCTGGTCACCCTATGGATTGTAGTAATACTGTAATAAATGCCATCTGGTGATTAAACCACAAACTATCTCTGCTGTTTAATTATTGCGAGCATGGTTCGGCGGCCCACTAATTTAATACTTTTGATGTAAATATAATACTGTGTGTGTGAGTGTATGTGCGCGCGCACGTAAGTGAGCCTGTTTGCTTGCCTAGTGCCGCCGAGTCACGTGACAGCAGGGAGTGGCAATCGAGAGCAGCAGCGCGAACACAAGACAGCCGCAGTGCACTCAGGACAGAAATTAAAGCTGAAGTATCGATCTCATGACGCTGCCATAGATTTGTGAACTTTATTTCGATAGACAGGCAGTAGAAGCAGAGTACAAGGTCGTGTATGAACATGCTTTATTTCTGTCTGATTGTTGCGTTTCAAAATCATACTGCAGAGGAAACCTCTGCTTTTCTCAGACATGTCCTGGAAATTGCAGCTTTTGTGGACGCTATGTCGCTACTTGATCAAAAAAATAACGTAACAACTGCTAAGTTATTTGATTCAGAAATCAGCAAAGAGAAATCAGTGATGCTCCAGGCAAGCTCCTAGAAAATGTAGTTAAACTAATAGCTTCGCTACATGTAGTGGCGCTACCGCACATCACTGAACGTGCAAAATATCTTTGAAATAGATTAATATTTTCAGGTTCCGCAACGCGATCGAAGTTTTCACCTGTCATATCAAGGCGCAGATCCACGCTATGTATCATCCATATAACGCAATGTAAATTGTTACAATTTAATACAAGAACCTAACAATCGGTCAGTGACAATAGAGCCAGAGCGATGTAATGTATGTGTGTATAATACAATGTGAGTAGGATTATTTCTTCCGCATCTCATCCAAGGACTCTTTTGCTAGTTCCAAAACGTCATTTTAAAGCTGGCAATGGAGGCTTGAGCTGTTGATAGCAGACTGATGCAGTTAATAATGAAGTTATTAGAAAGAGAGCGAGAGAGACAGAGACACAGAGAAAGAGAAACAGAGAGAGAGAGAGAGCTTGTATGAATTAGGCTACCTCTGTGTGTCCCTCAACAGTGTTCTGAAGCACCGTCTCTAAACTGTAAGTCTGCTTTAAGATGCAACGCTGTTATTACCTCGCTAGTGAGAAATGTTAATAATGTGTAGCCTTTAAGTTGCTACACTAGGCTAACTGATAAAATCGTCAGGGCAGCGCTGACACGTTTTTGTGTGAGTGTGTAACACATTCACATTTCATATTCACCGTAAATATTA